TATCACACGATACATTTGCCATCATACGGCACGTATCACGGTCGGCGCCTCGGTGACTGAGCACAACACTGAGAATCAAACCAGCTGCCCTCGTCCTCTATCCCAGCGCCGACGAAACACGGACATTCAATTACCGTTGAGTCTATCAGCAGGCTTCGTGCGGTACTCCAATCAACCGCCAGTCTTTCGTGCGTTTTGTTCGCCAATTTATCCGCGACTGTCCCCGCACTTCCTGGCCGGCGGAACGCGATTGTTCTCCTCGACGGCCCTTCCGCCGCGTATTTGACACATCTGCATCTCCGTTCATTTATATTGAGAAACCTCCAACATGTCGCTTGCCAGAGCTATGACTCGGCGCATGAGACGCTCAGAAATACCTTCGTCACCACCGGCTCGGGCGTCAAGCATGAGGGATTCCACCCAACGCGTTGACCGAAACAAAATCTCGTCCCCTGTAGCTTTATTATCCACAACAAATATGCTATCCTACAATGCACCCGATATCGCGACGATGCGCTATGCGTCTTCATCCTCGTCGTCAACGCTGTCCCGCAGTTCAGCTGAAGACTCGGACCATACCTTGTCCTCAAATAGGTCGCGAGAAACTCTCACTGATGCTTCTTCCGTTGGTTCCTCACCAGCGTCGCCTGAGCCAAATCACCTTTCGTGCTATTTTCCAGCTGCTCAAATGCCTCGCCGATCTGCCTCGTCAGGAAATCTCTTTCGTAAATCCGAGCTGACGGAGAAAGCCCCAGCAATCCCTGAACGAGCAATTTCCCACAGCAAGCGCGCTCATGAACGTGTTGCTCACAAACGATCGCTACAGAATATGAAACCCCCAAGCAGTCTTCACTTAAGAGAGCAAAGGTCTTCTCGCGAACACCGGACATCGTTCGACATGTTTAAGGGTTCAGTCGAAGAGGGTCATCCGTTTGGCAAGGAATTAGAACAATTAAACGAAGTAGTAGAAGAATTTGGAGATGTTGTTAGGGACGTTGAGATGGAAGAAGACCTTGCCAGCATGAGTCAGAAGGGTCTGGTGAAATTATGCGCAACAGATTACTTGGACGAAATCCAACCACTCTACAGTGGTCTGTTCGAAAGCCGGTACCTTTCAGCGCCAACAGCGTGGATATAACTCTGGTACGAATCTAGGAGAGACAGGCTCTCTTATAAGCTGATATTAATCGGGCGCATTGGTTCAACCATCTAGGGTCATTTTTCTTGTGCATATTTAACCTTTTTTCTCTACACTCACTGACGTCGTTTCGGGCCTAGTTCGTGGCGAATGGGGTTCTTGAACAGTGGGCGCAATGGTTGGAACAGAGGAACGGTTTTTGGGAGGATTTTCTGTCTACCCGTTGACGACGATACACGTGATGCTGTGCAAAGACGCCCGGCGTTGCGTTGTTGAGAGAGATCTAAACAGTAGATATTACATTTTAGCTTTAGTTACTCGGAAAAGAAATGCTACTTCTAGGTATAACTAAATACTTGCCAATTTACGTGCTTCTCTTTAACGCGAGTTCCCACCTATATCGCCCAACCCTCGTACACTACGACCAGTATGAAGAATTTCCATATTCTTGCCTGCCTCGTATCGCCATAAACTTGAATCCCTTCCGTTATCATAAAAGGCACTCAATTTTGATCAAGAAGCATAAAGTGAACGAGGAAATATTCTGGCATAATTATTAGAGACTTGCTATTCCCGTCTTATTCACATGAAGTAGTTATGCAAGCTGATATACGACTTTCGCAGCACATAAAACCACCCTCACATAAACGTGCTTTAGAAATGCAATCGCAGTAAAATGTCACTATGTCTTTTATGTTGTAATGCTGCGAAATATGACTAAAACCGGGAGAACGGCTCTGTCCGTGTCATAGAAATGCTGTTGTGACAAATACGTCACTTACTAATGAACAACTCAAACTACCTAGGTACGTTTAAAAAATATAATATGATAAATTATCCAGCTCTTCAACAAGCAAAACAAGCTTTCCGGTTCGGTGGTGTAGTTGGTTATCACGTCAGTCTAACATCAGTTCAATCTAATCAAATTGGACTGTTGCGAGATCACTGAAGGTCCCCGGTTCAAACCCGGGCCGAATCAAATTTTTTTTCCCCTCATTAAGTTCCCCAAAAACAATCCAAAGACACCCTAGATTTTCCTCCCCACGAATATGCATCACTTAGTATCATTTTGAGGTCAAGTCAACACCATTCACTAGCAGAACTTTATTCATAAAATCGTGTCCGTGAAATTTTATCCCGTTTGTTCAAACGCGGCTGCTACGATCAAGACGCACTCTCACAATCTCTTGATTTTCTTCTAAAAATATAGGGAACAACACCTCTAAAGATTCATCGATTAGAGAGACGACCCGATATTCCATAAATATCCGGTCTAAATAAGCCCATAACGCCTGGGAGTTAAGGTCATTTTCGCGTAAAAAAAAATTGCTGTTAAGCGCAGCGCACTTGACCATAACGTCGCGACAAGTACATACAGAAAGTTCGAAAGTTTATGAATTATAAAGCTAATTCACGTGCTCATTCTAAGCCTATATATAAAGCTAGAGCTGTTGTGTGGAAGGCTTAGTTAATTCCGCCAAAGTTATAAGCGTTTTCTGTGTGCATTTGGCTGCTCCACTTAACAAAACTTACAAAAGTCCCTCAGACCATGGAATCGAGTTTGCGCGGAGCGGATTTAGAATAGTCCCGATTCTATGGTCTGAGCTTGCTGGGGCAAAAAGGCACAAACAAACCTAGAAGCCAAGGATGTCGGTGATCGGAAAGAGTTCCTTCGCATCCATCGACCAACTTCTATTCAAACGACCATGATTTGCTGCCGCTGCCTACGAACCGCTGCTCGAGCACAACAGTCCCATCCATCTCAAATTAATATAGCGCCTGCTTTCAGCCGTCTTCTTTCACATTCTCCCTCGCGTTATGCCAAAGCCATTTCGCCTACGGCCGCAACACAGTCCGCACCCGGACAAGGCTCATTATCTTCTTTGCATAACCCCCCAACAGTGACTTCTATCTCCGCCGCACAGCCATTAAGCACGCCGTTGACGCCTTCTCCTAACGCAGTAGGCGTGGAACCTGGGAAACCTCCAATTCCTGTAATAACGCTGTCATCTACACCGGCCGGCACGCCGTTAAAAGGTCTAAATTTCCTCAAGAACCGAAGCGATCCTATTGCATTGGAAGACTCAGAATATCCATCATGGCTCTGGGACATACTCAAGAAGGGAAGGAAGAAGGGTGAAGAGGGAAAGGAGGGCGATCTGTTCTGTAAGTTTTCCTTATGCTGCTCAATGCTTAAATATCCTCAGCCAAACCGCCATTTGCTCTTCAATGTCGCATATGTGGTGGATTTGCCAGAAATTAACTTAGCTACGCCTCTGGGCTTCTGAATATAGTCAATTACTGACAGTACACCTTTCTAGCTAAATCAAAAAAGCAACGGAGACTAGCCGCGAAAAGACTACGAAAGCAAGCACTCATAAATCCAGAAATTCTCACACCAAAAGTACCTATATACGAACAAAGTATCGATTTACCTTCTGGGGATGGAACCGTCCAGGGCGCAGTTAACGCTGTGAAGGCAAGAGAAGATTTGAGAAAAGCAATGCGGGTAAGGAGGAGGAGCACTATCAAGGAGGGCAACTTCTTGAAATCTATGAGCTAGTCGAGAAGCTATGCTGAATTGCCAACCAATTGCAATGAGTTTTATCTCAGGCAGAGGTGGTTATGTAGCTAGCTTCGAGAGTAGAGCATAATGAACGATGGGCTTCGGAGTATGTGTATTAGATACATTCAAAATACCCTGAATGTAAAGGTCTATATATGCACGATCATAAGCAAAAACACAAGTTATAGCTAGAAATAATTTAAAAAATAGAAATGGACCGTCGGAATCGAAAGCTACTTTCCTGCCACCAGTACATCAAGTTAGGTAAAATTAATCCAGGTGAAGTTAACGGTATCCCACGCATTGTTCATTTTCATTTGTCGAGACCTTCCACATACTAAGCGCGACAGACGAACGTCCCTACTCTTAGAAGCCAAAGGCCCAGCCAAATATGCTAGGACCAAAACCCACTCTGATCTAACCTTTTCATGTCTTTTGGTGAAATGGCTCTGATGCTAGCACCTCCTATGCATGGTACTGGTGGCGATGGCTTGTCAAGCACCAGTCCACGTAATCGCAAGATTTAGTAAGGACAATTAAAGTTAAAGGCTACCGCATTTACATAATTATCCTCCTACTATATTAGAGCATGGAGGCTCAAGCAAAGTCCCCGGTGGATTCTCTTTACTCGATTTTAATTTCTCAGCGTTACTCATATGCATGTGGTGCCATGTTCAGTCCTTCCAATGCCTTTGTACAATGACCAAATACCATCCTAGCCCCGGTCCTTCTTTGCAACATATGGATCATATGATTGCTCCTTACCCAATCGTCGTGCTCTCTCGCTAGCCAGCCCTGAGGCACACTTTCTTCAAAGTTCTCAGAGACGTGGTACATATCGGTCGTAAAAATCCAAGCCCCGGATTTCGGCATATTGACTTGCAGGATACACAGGCCAGGAGTATGACCTGGGGCATGGTGTAAATTTAGACCCTGCGCAATTTCTAGGAAAGCGCCACTGAATGGCACCCAATTTAAGTCGAAAGTTAGGTAGTGGGGTAGGTAGACTCCTGGTGAATAATGTGTCAGCTAGGAGTAATGCCATATGGCCATAGAGGAGGGTAGCTTACCCAAATCTGATTTGGTCGCCACCGAATAAAATGCATGCTTCAACTCCTTCTCGTGCACATAGATCGGAATACCGGTATTTCTAAAATATTCCAGCCCTCCAGCATGATCCAGATGTAAGTGTCCTATTACAACCATTTTAACATCCTTGATGTCGTGGCCTGTTTTCTTGATTTGCACATCTAGCTCTTGCTCTTCAGTGTAATCAACACGTGCAAAAATATCATTAATTGGTGCACCCCAGATTTCAGGATAGTCTTTGCCAGACCCAGTTTCAAAGAGAATAAGGCCTTCAACGGGATGCTCGATTAACACAGAAACCATAATTAGCTTGCGTCGCTCCCGATTGGGATGGGGGTTGGAAAGCGTGGATGTGCCGCCCTAAGCATTCGGTTATGAGATAGGTAGGTTAGGGTAAGCTATCTCGCACATACACCGCGTTTGAACCAGGCTTCATCACATTCTAGATTACCCACGTGAAGCAGCTACAACGGGGTAAGCAAATGCCCATCGCGAAGGGGTGCTGAAATTATATGTTACCCATAACTTTGTGCCCTACGGTTCGGTGCGATAAGCATAGAGCGCTAGAAAAATTGGAGTGGGACTTGCCTTGGGAGCCTGATTGATCAAGTCCAGTGAGGTCGCCATGGAGATTTGAACATTCAAAGGAGAAAAGATGGGTTCTGAACAGCACCGGTGTCTCCCCGCGGATATAAATATAATCACCCCATCGTGCTTTGTTATTCCCGTCTAACGATCCGCTCAAGCGGCGGCCATATTTGTAGAAGCGTTTCGGATCACCGCATCTTTTAGCTCATTCCCAGAGATACCCCGCGTACCATTTCCGACGGTAGGTCTGGGGAAAGACAAAACCTGACGTGGCGTTGAGGTCATCGCTGGGCATGCCTAACAAAAACCCACCCCACCAAGGTCGCTCTGCCACGCACCAGGTACACACCAGGCACACACCAAGCACACGTTCAAGCACACGTTCAAGCACAGTCGAAGTCGCTGACTGTTCATCTCTACCGCCTCTACAAACACCCCCCCAGAAAACTCAGCTGAGAGGATAAAACTAGTATCGGGCATCTTAAAATTACCCATGCAGCTTATTAGCCCTTTGAGCCTCTGAGCCAGTACATGACTGCTTCTGAGTGCACTCCTCTATCTCCCGATAAAGTGGGAAAGCTAGGCCGTAGAATAAGCTGTAGAAGCTGAAGGCGGCATATACCTGTTGCTGTTTCTTTATTCCCACGGTAACGCTTTCGACGCGGCACCGCGTAGACGACACGTTTGAGTGAATTTCTTTGTTCTATTTCTCATCTCCTTTCCTATCTCTCACCTGCCCCTCGACCCGCCCAGAGTCGACTTTCCAAAGATTCGCACATTAACTACAGCTCATTTCGCCATATTCCCGCTCAAAACGGTCATTTCTATCCATCCATACCGGGCACTGTATTGCTTCACACGGCATCGAACTTGCACCACAGCCTCCGACCAGCTGAAAATGGCAGAGGCCGCAGGCTTCAAGGCACGGGAGGTATGCCAGGTCCAGACAGCAGTGGTAAATCCCTCTTCAGCGATCATCGTAACAGGGGCTCTAAGGAGAATCTCCGTTCCTGAGGATACAACGACTTTTTTGAGATCATCGCTTAGCAGCGTGAGCTTGAGTGATGACAGCCCCAACCATTTACGAGGTCAACTATCTTCAAGACCAATGACACCAGAAAATACAGCAATAGCATTCCCAGATACAATCAAACCCAAGCCGATTCCCCAAATATCTAGAAGTGCCATGGGTACAAAACTAGCCAACATTCCTGCTAAAGTAGAACGCGGGAACCTAAGAAAGAGAGAGGTCATTTCTGTGAGTAGGCGCACGGCAAGATTAGCTATCAGTAAGCGGAAGCACACCCGGATTTCAGTCCAAAGAGTAGCAAGGTGGAGCACTGCCCTAGAGAATAATTATTCGAGTTGGCCAGTTGGTCAAAGGTCGGATAAGTTAGAAACGATGGAAATACAGAAGAATAGTATCTTAGGCTACGGAGCAAGAGCATTACCAGAGGCTCCGTCATCTGTAATCGGTAGCTCCACGGAATTATACCACCATTCCGCGTCTCAATCAAGCCCTCATCCAAGCCATCTACATAGCGCACTACAACCGATTCCGGCGAATACAGGTTGGGCACAGTCCGCACCACTGACATGGAGTAGAGTAAGCTCTACCGGGAACAGCAGTTCAACGAGCCCCGAGCGTTCTAGTAGCGCAAGATCCATAACATTACGAAGTGGCTCCGTTTTGACAATGGTCTCACCAGAAGAAACGGCATGGGACCATCCAATAT